TTTGTTTAACGGCTGAAAATAATTCCCATGATTTTCCATGTAGGCTCCTGAGACATAGTCAATTAATAGGGCCCTTCTACCCTAATCCCTTTTGTGATGTATTATAAATTCTGGCCTCCATATGTGTGGTTACAATCCCATTTTGGAGGGAGTTCTCTGTTACAGGGGAAGCCCTGGTGGTGTAGTGGTTACAAGTTAGGCTGCGATCCCCATGGTTAGTAGTTTGAAACCACCAGCAGCTCCTCAGGAGAAAGAGCAGGCTTTCTACTCCCGTAAATACCAGTAGTTAACAGTGTCAGAAACCCACAAAGGGTCGCTATGAGTCAGCATTGATTCGACAGCAGTGAGTGTTCTCTGCTACAGGATTAAGGGGAAATGTGTTCTGAGTCTCTACCTTAATAGAGGGTATAACTCAAGTCATCACTATTGTTTCCTTGGGCTGTGGTCTGCTGAAAGACAAGAATCACACCTCCATATAAGAAAGAGCCACCTCAAAAGCAAGAACACAGAGCAATCCTAGCACTGTTGGGACGAGAGGGACTAGTGGAGCACCTTAGAGGTCTCTGTCTGAACTGGTGAAGGTCAAGACCAGAGGCACCAGAGCCTGCGGCTTGAAGGCCATAGAACAGAGCAAAGGAGCCAGTAAGGCAAGAAGACTATGGAGAACAGGGGAGAAGTGCCAAGACTAAGAGGTCGAGCAACAGGTAGGCTTTCTGGCCCACAGAGGCAGACACCAAGGGGCCATGTGACTGAGAGACTGCTGACACAGAGACAGGTTTGGCTGCTGGCTGAGAAGAGGCACTGCTGTGGACCAACCACTGTATCCTGGCTGTTTGCTGATCTTGAATTCCCTCATAAGCTCCCATAGTTGTGAGTTTTGTGTGAGTTCTATGTGGCCACTGAAATGAATTAGTGAGCCCAGCAAAGAGGAAGAGTGTCATAAAAGCAAGTGTTAATGTCAGAATAAGTAAAGAAAGAGGGAAGGTGTTGGTATGTCTGATCCCTGCGTGATGGCAACAGGGAAGCCAGAGAAGGTCAGATACGGCCACTATGCCATTTTTTCAGCTCTAGCGAAGAAAACAGGACTGTTCTCAAAGAGTTGGGTCCAATCAGGGGACAGTGGTCATAAGACAGGCTTTTATCTGCCCACCTCAGACTATCAGGATAACCTGACAGAATCATCCAGCTGTGGCAAATCCTTTACTCATGGGCACTGTCACCTTCTAAAGATCGGAGTAGAACCCATGGTGTGAACTTTCACATTACCTCATGATAGAACTCTCTACCAACTTTGTTAAAAGGGCTCCATCACCAATGTTGCTACCTGAAGGGCCCACAATATACAGTCTCTGCCACCCAGAACAAGTGAAAGCCAGTCCATCCATTAATGATCATGCACTTTCTACAAAATGCCTGATGACTCAGTTTGCTATTTCATGGCTTATGGAGAAGACATAGCAACTAGAAAGGAGAATGAGTCAAAGAAGGGCCAGGAAAACCCTATGGACCGATTGCAACAAAGCGTATAGAGACCGAGGCCCTGGAGAAATATTACATGAGCTCCTGAAGATAACTGTAAATTACTCAAAGAAAGTTAACACTGTGGCCACAGTAACCTGTAAGAAGAAAGAGTTCTTGCTAAAATAGCTCAAGGTTAAGAAAATTTAGCAAGGAGATTATAGTTTGGTTGAAAAGTTCACCAATATGAGACTGAATAAGTGAGCACTCCTTCTGACTAAGGTCTTTGGGTAATCAGCAATATTTGGAAATGGGTCGTAAAAATCTCAGCTGCCTGATGGTCAGTCAGTACAACTTAGATTTTCACTGTCCGTTACCCAACATCCTAAGCCCTGAACTGTCTACCCAACTTCCTAGTTAGATCCTAAACTCCAAAGTTGTCTCATGCACGCTTGGATTGACCTAAGCACACACATTTTGCTGCCCCTACATTCTTTGTCAAAGACAATAGCTTGCAGATGGTCATGAAAACCCAGACTAGGAGGCCTCTCTAACCACCAGAGGCCTGAGATGGCAGGGAGAGTATCTGAAATCAAGGCAGAACAGAAGCTGTGCTGGAAAAGAACAGCTCACCACTGGCGCAGAGAAGAGTGGGGTTGACAGCTTGTGCGCTATTTTGGAACAGTTTGTGCTGATGAGCTTTCTGTTGTGGTAACGTTCCTCTAAAAAGAACATTTTCCTCCTCCCTTCATTAACAAAGAAATTCAACAGCCAGTGAAAAAGAGGCGGAGCGGATGACAAAAATGTCCAGGAATTTGTGGATCTTGGATCCTACCACCTTCCTAGCTGTTGTGCCTGTCTCTTCCCCTCCTCCCCATCATGCGAACAGGCCCTCGGGAGAGCGGCCCTAGGGGAGAGAGAGACCTGGACACTTGCAGGACCCACTCACCACCAAGAGCATGCCTCTAAGCAGAAACAACAACAATTTTTCTTTTTCCTTTGAGGGCTACTTATCGTCGTTCTGGACGTGACGAAAAATGCAGGCACTCTCCTCACGGTTATTCTCCTCCTTCAGAAACTATCATCGTCTTATTCTACAAGCACACGTATCTTGGCCTGACTGGATCTCAATTTCTTCTCTAGCTTTCTGCCTCTCTACCACAGGCTCTCTGTCGAATCAAGTCAACCCACCCTGCTTCTCACTACCTCCACACCTTTGTTCACATGGGTTCCCCACCACTCAGACTGCCCTACCCCTTCCCCTCTATCCACATCCCACCTTTCCTCCAAGAAGTCTCTGTTCTACCTGCTTTGAGCTCTTTGGATATTATCTGGTTCAGCTTAATACAAGAGAGCTTCAAAAAGTTTGTGGGGTGGGGGGATGGAATTAAGAGATAATGGAGCAGTATAGCACCAACGAAACACACGACACTCCTCTATTTTTTTAATGCTTCCTTTCCCCGCCCCACTATCATGACCCCAGTTCTATGTTACATATCTGGCTAGACAAGAGCATGTACATGGATACAGATAACAGCTCTTGACCCACAGAATCCAGGACAGACAAACCCCTCTGGACCAATAATGAGAGTAATGATACCATCAGGGTAGGAGGAAGGTGGGGGTAGAAAGGAGGAATGGATTACAATGATCAATGTACAACACCCCACCACCACCACCAGGGGGACAAACAACAGGAAAGTGGGCAAAGGGAGACAGCAGACGGTGTAAAATGTGAAAATAAAAATAACTTATAAATTTATCAAGAGTTCATTAGGGTGAGAGGGGAGGGGGAAATGAGGAACTGATAACAAGGGCTCATGTAGAAAGAAAATGTTTTGGAAATGATGATGGCAGCACATGTACAAATGTGCTTGATACAATTGATGTATGGATTGTGATAAGAGCTGTAAGAGCCCCCAATAGTGATTTATTAAAATTTTTAAAAGAGAGAGAATGGAAATTTTTCCATGAACTTTTTGAAGTTCCCTCATATAAAACCCCCTCTGAAGTTCTGTATTCTACTTGTCCTACTTTAGTGATGGAGTTCACTATCTACCAAAGTAGACTCTTCTATGCCAAGACACCACTTTAGGTAATTCTTTATTCTAGAACATGGGTTTCCAAACGACACCCTTTTGGGGTGGGAAAAATATATATATATATATATATTACTCAGCTCCCCCTTGGCAATAAGATTTTGTACTGTAGCCCGCAACCCAAGATAAAGTGGAGGGATCTGCTTTTGCAGCCTCCCCAAATTGTTCCAGCACCCCATAGGGAGTGCTACCACCCAATTTGGTAAAGTACTTGTCTAGAAGATGTTTATTCTTTACTTTCCCCACATTAGTCCTGGTTTTTCAATGGAAACAATACAGCAGTGCTTAAGATCATAGGCTTTGAAATCAGCTTCATATGACTGTTAAGAAAGTTAAATGAATAACTGTACAAAGAGCTTAACACTGTACTTGGCACATGGTAAAAGTTCAATAAATGATATTACCATCATTTTTATTTTTTGACTCCTCTACCTCATATACTTAAAGATAGACTTTGTACGACCTGAAACGCTTCTTCTCCAGATTAACATTCCTTCACAAGGCTGTTAATTAGATGAGAAATATCTATGCCTCTCTTAGTGACTGCCCTATAAGTGCCTAGCATAGTATGTGGTACTTATATAATAGATATTAGTAATATTTACTACACTGTATTCAATTCTCCCCATTTTATAGATTCCATACTCGATCATTTGTGATCTTGTATGATTAGGTTTCTGCTGTTCCAAATCCTCCTGACAATGAGAGAGCTGAAAACTGAATTCAAAGGCAAAGGTGGGCTAACAAGCAGGGAAAAGAGACAAGGCTAGACCCATTCTCATTTTACAAACTGCATCACTGAAGAGTTGGCATAACTTAGCAGCTTCTCCACACTGCAGGCTCATGGTGGATTTAAAAGTCAAACTCTTACACCTCTTATATATGATGACTCTGTATGCTGACCTCTGCAGAGCAGGCACTTCAGTAATCCCCAGAGGAAAAACAACACAGGGGCATTCTCCATCTAAGAGATCCCTATAAGCTCTTCTTACCTGGACCAGTCAACTGGCTCCTAGCAACTGCAGCCTGGACTCAAAATGATCTTTCTGAAAGCCTTTGTTTCTTCCTCCCATCTCGAGAATAAATTTCCAGAGAGCAAGATCTAACTGCCTTGCCTCTCTCCCACATGCCAAGAACAAAGTAAGTACCAACTAACTGATCACCTCTCATCAAAAGCATTACAATAAGGATCCAGGGGGACTTTGAGGTCCCTGTCTCCCCCTTCAAACAGTACCCTCAGCCAGTGCAGCACACACACAGTCAAGAGGCCTGCACTGAGCTTCTTGAGGGCTGCTCTCCTTCTGAGAGGCCCCGCCCCTGACTTCCTAGAGGACAAACCAGCAGGAGAGACCATCTCTTCACAGGAGACAGTGTGTCTAGGCAGCCTTCAGGGACTGTTACAAGCAGAAAGAGAAGACTGCCGGACTGAGTGGGAAAGCTCACCTCATCACTTTCCTCCACATCCACATCACCATTGGCATCATCATCCATCAGCTTGTGGATACTGCGGACAGCGTCAAAGCTGAGCTTTTCATCCACAATGTCGCACAGGGGCTTGTCAATCCTGCAAAACTCTGTACAAGAAAAGCAAAAGACAACATTACTCAGGGCTGTCACCCAGCCTCTATTTCCCACCTATCTCAGGCTTCTCAGCTTGGAGCATTTGACTCCTCATTAGGGTTCCTTGTTAAGTTAGAGTCGTACTTAATCTAGCCTTTAACTGTCTACTAAGAAAGTGCTGAGTTTCCTGGTCAGGCACAGTTTATCACCCTGATAGTTCCCTGGCAGGGAAATCAAGCACAGGACTAAGAATATAGTAGAAGCTGGGCAAAGAAAATGGATAGGCAATTCACAAGAAAAAAAATACAAATGATCAATAAACATAGGGTAACAAAATTTGCTAGTATTTTAAAAAAGAACCTCGGTTTAAAAAAAAAAAAAAAAAAAAAAACCTTGGTAGCATAGTGGGCTAATTGTTGGACTGCTAACCAGAAGCTCAGAAGCTCAAACCCACCAGCCACTGCTTGAGAGAAAGATGAGGTTGTCTGCTCCCATAAAGATTTACAACCCCGGAAAACTTGTGGAACTGTTCTACTGTCTTATAGAGTCACTTTACACAGAACCAATTCAACAACAGTGAGGGTTTTTCTTTAGTAATAAAATAAAAATATATACAGATTCAAATGAGATATAATTGCTAATCCAATAAACAATGATTTAACAGCTCAATAAAATCATAGCTAATGAAAATAAGTACTCCCATATTGTTAGTATTGATATAAAACAACACATGGAAACAGGAAAACAGGCAGCCAGTTCCCGTGCTGGAATAATGGGTTTCTTCTCCCTCTCCTTCTCTCCTGACTCGTAGTGACCCGTAGGGCAGTGTCCCTTCGCCACAGGGTGCCCAAGACTGTACAGCTTTACTTGTCTTTCTCCCAGAACGATGGGTAGCTTTCGCTTTTGTTCACTTCATCACTGCTGGTGTATAAAATGTCAGCCATGGGCAGAGCTAGCAAGCGAACACCTATTGGACATCAAGAGCTCATATGATACAACAGCTGGGGAAACATAAAGTACAGTTTCTTTTGCCTTATACCACACAACCACACAGCAATAACAACAGCACAAGAGCCTAGGCCACTCCAGTGCTTTCCAGGACACTGAAACTTCTTGCAAACCTAAAACTATCTAGCCTGCCTGATAAACAGCGCGGAAAGAGCCTGGAATCCAGTCTTGAGCTTTCATGTAACTGAGGAGGTCATTTCCCTTCTTCAGGCCTCACATCCACTGTTTGAAAAGAGCAATTTGGCTAAATTGTCTAGTTATTTTTCCTAATTCCTAGACTCTAAAATGCCTCTTTACTTTTGACTGGGTCTTGATAACCCCTTGCTAGGCTGAGTGCTCCTCAGATCTCTCCCAAAGGAAATGGAAGAAAGATCTTGACTGCCCAGATTAAAAAAAAAAAAATCACAAGGGAGAAAACCAGGACAGGGTAGATGTGGCTCAACAAAACCTGTTGACTACAAAGCTCATAAATGTGAACTGGTATGTCCAAAGGTAAACAAAGGCAGGTGAAGGGCCAAAGCAAGGACTCCTAGACCAGTGTTTCACTTCAGTTGCCTTCCTGCCAAGCAGACCAGCTTTGGGTCGGCTCTATTTTTTGGAAACCACAGACAGCAGGAAGAGTAAGAGACGCACTCAGTAAATAGCTCTCTATGAGAATGTGGGATGAATTGTGCACACACAAAAGAAAGACCTCATGTTTATGTTCTACCTGCATCCTGCCCAGTTACGGAGGGAATGGAGGACGGCTGGAACTAAGGGTCGAGAGCAAGCTGCAACAAAGATCAGGCGCTCGTTTTCGGGTGGTTGTTGGTTTTTAACTTTTTATTGTGATTTGGGTGAGTTTGCAGAGCAAATTGGTTTTCCATTCAACGAATCATACACATGTTGTTTAATAACACTGATTGAAATCCCCACAATGTAACAACTTTTTTCCAACCTCCTGCCTGTGTGCACCATTTCCCTTTGTGCTTTCTATCCCTCCTTGCCTTATGAGGCTTATCCCCGAGCAAATGCTGCCCTTTTGGTCTCAGGTGGTTGATGGCTCTAAGGATTGTACTTCCTTAGTTTTATTGTTCACCTTATAGGCCTATTGCTTAGCTGAAAGCTGAACTATAGAAATAAGTTTGGTTTGAGGCCTCAAGGTTATCTAGCCTCTCTGATGGTGACAACATCCGAACACGACCATGCCTCTTGCAAAGGTTCTCCTTCATCCCCTCCACAAGAGGGGAAGAGGAAACATGAGCAGCGCCTGGGGCAGAGCCCCAATTCCTTCTTCATGGCCGTCAAATGCCCAAACTGCTATAAAACCACCACGGTCGTCAGCCAGGCACAAACAGTGTTGTGTGTTGGCTGCTCTACTGTCCTCTGTCAGCCTACAGGAGAAAAAGCAAGGCTCACAGAAGGATGTTCCTTCAGATGGAGGCAGCACTAAAAAGCCCTGAATCAAGATAAGTGGGAGCCATCCCAACAAACTCATTTTGGATTTAAAAAAAAAAAAGTAAAAAAATGTTTTAATTAAAAAACATTTTTAAGAAGCGGGTGAATAAGCAAATGTGGTGAAGAAAGCTGATGGTGCCCGGCTATCAAAAGATATAGCGTCTGGGGTCT